TTCTTCCACACGGTGCTGGAGAACAGCCCAGCCTGCCAGAGCCTCGTGGACAACAACCTGCGGGTCACCAACTGGAACCGCAGGCTGGGCTGCAAGTGCCAGTACAAGCACATCGTGGACTGGTGCGGCTGCTCCCCCAACGACTTCAAGCCACAGGACTTCCTTCGGCTGCAGGTGCTTCCCCGTGGCCCCTGCCCCAGCCGCTCTGTGCGCTTCCCAGGGTCGGAAGGGATTCAGGGTGAGCCCACCAGAGCATCTGGGGGGGCCTCCCCTGGAGCAGCGCCTGGGGCTCCAGGGGGCTTCCAGCGGCAGCAGGAAGGGCCCCCACTCCAGCCACGCCATCTGAAGGGGCCTCCGGACCCCTTCACCCTCCTTACCTCTCCCGCTGCAGCAAGTCTCCAGACCCACCTTCTTCGCCCGGAAGTTTGAGTCGACTGTGAACCAGGAGGTACTGGAAATCCTGGACTTCCACCTGTATGGCAGCTACCCCCCGGGCACGCCGGCCCTCAAGGCCTACTGGGAGAACACGTACGACGCGGCCGACGGCCCCAGTGGGCTCAGCGATGTGATGCTCACCGCTTACAACGCCTTTGTCCGCCTCAGCCTGCGCCATGCTGCCGCCGCTGCACCCCCGCTGGCCACCCCCCTCTGCAGGTGAGGCCTCCTTTTGACATAGCTCAGGTCCTCAGGGTGCCCTGTGGGGAGGTCAGTCAGAAAGCGACAGCCCCCGCCCCAGGGAGCCCCCAGTCTGAGGCAGGGAGAAAGGCAAGAGCCAGGCGTGCAGGTGCTGGGGGCGTGAGATTTGGGGCGAAGGAAGTGCCTGGGGACGGGACTCCCCAGAGCCCCCTCCCTGGGACTCCAGGCCAGTCGGGTGTGCTGATGGCATCTCCCTTTCTCCCTGCTGGAACCTTCTTAGGTTTGAGCCCAGGGGCTTGCCGTCCAGCGTGCACCTGTATTTCTATGACGACCATTTCCAGGGCTACCTGGTGACGCAGCCGGTGCAACCCTCAGCCCAGGGGCCGGCAGAGACGCTTGAGATGTGGCTGATGCCCCAGGGGTCGCTGAAGCTGTTGGGGCGCAGTGACCAGGCCAGCCGGCTCCAGAGTTTGGAGGTGGGACAGGTCCTCCCCCTTGCTTTCTCCCGACCCCCAGCAAGACTCAGGGTAGTGGGAAGAGAGGGACAGACCTCAAGGGAGGGAGAAGGACTGGGCTGGGCCTCTCAGGACTGAGTCCATGGGCTCTTTCCCCATGATGGAACCCTGGTGATGCCCTGTGCTCATGCCTGTGTCTCCCCCGCATGCGCACACTGAGAAGCACCTCCCCACTTGGGGTGCACCGAGGAGGACGTGCAGTGAGCAGGGAGGGGACCGTAGCTGCTCTACGACACGAGCCCAGGCTTCAGAAACTACAGTGATTTTCTTCTGGAGGGACTTTGATACTCTGTTAGACGTTTGAGTGTCCTCTTGCTCTTAGAGGCCTTGGCTTTGTGTGGAGATGGTCTCTGGGCAGGACCTCAAACTTCATCTCTGCCTTACCGCCCCCACCACTGCAGAGCAAGCCAGGACAGGAGTGTAGAACAAATCTGAGAGCTGAGAAAGATACTAAGGAAATCCTAGTCCAAGCCCTTCGTTTTGCAAATGGGGAAACTGAGGCCCAGAAAGATACAGTGCCTGGCCTGAGGCCACACAGAGAGTTAGAGGCAGCATCAGAGTAGAGAGGACTTGCTCCCCAGGCTCCTGCCCAGCTGCCTCCCTCCCTACAGGTCGGCACCGAGTGGGACCCCAAGGAGCGTCTTTTCCGGAACTTTGGGGGGTTGCTGGGGCCACTGGACGAGCCTGTGGCCATGCAGCGCTGGGCCCGGGGCCCCAACCTCACGGCCACCGTGGTGTGGATTGACCCCACCTACGTGGTGGCCACATCTTACGACATCGCGGTAGACGCGGACACCGAGGTCACACAGTACAAGCCCCCGCTGAGCCGGCCCCTGCGACCAGGGGCCTGGACTGTTCGACTGCTTCAATTCTGGGAACCCCTGGGCGAGACCCGCTTCCTCGTGCTGCCCTTGACCTTCAACCGCAAACTACCTCTCAGGAAAGGTAAGGATCTAGGCCCAGAAGCCAGATAGAATAGGATTTGCCTGGCAGGTGACCCCGAAAAGCTGACCATCAGAGCTGACCCTCGAGTAGGGAAAGAGGCAGGGTTGGGGCCCTGATGGTCTGGCCCTTAGTGTCCCCGCACTGAGGTAGGGTAGAGAGGCAAGCTTTGGAGTCAGGCAGACTTGGCTGTGGGGTGTAGC